TATCAGATGTTATGCATTTACTACCAGAAAGAAAGGGTTTTATATATTGAAGGTAAAAGGATGGGGGCATGTGAGTGGGAGGGTGATGGGGATGCCAGGATGCTAAGAAAGCTAAAAAGTAGGTTGATTAGATCAATTGAGATGAACAAGGCAGTTAACGCTTTGTGGGGTACTGGAGTTAACAGCTAGTTCAGATATAAAGAATATGTAGTCCCTTTTGAGACCATGGTTAATACAATCAAGTCTGTGTATGATTTCTTCGTTCCCAGTTTCAAGTTCAAGTCTTGTTTTATTTATTTATTTAAGGACAGCTACTCTGGGGCCAGTGATGGAATAGTAAAGTGTTCTGCCATGGGCTTTTGTGCATTTCTGGCATTGATGTCGAAACAATGGTCATCCATTCTCTTATACAGGGATTGCCTCACCTGGCCTATGGTTGATGTTAGCAGGTTCTATTAGGCTATGGAATAAGATGGTTGCCTATGAAAGCTCATGCCTTTATGAACTAAGGTGCCACCATGCCTTACCTTTTGCCTATATAGGATTCTAGTGATAGAGCAAAAGAGTCCTGAATGCATTGAACTAGAACCTGAAACCATCACAATGATCTTTTCCCTGAACAGAAACAGATAGATCCACCAGAGGACCAGCACGTACAACCTAGAAGGTCACATCTTTTACAGGAATGAACTACTTTAAAAGTTAACCCATCTTACTGTGAGTCATGCATACAGAAGTGATTTAGAAATCATAGAAATCATAGAAACTAAGGGTTGGAAGGGGCCTTGAAAGATCATCGAGTCCAATCCCACCCCCTGCTCGGGGCAGGAATACTGCTGCGATCAAATGATCCCAGCAAGGTGCATGTCCAGTTTCCTCTTGAAGACTTCCAGGGTTGGGGACTGCACCACTTCCTTTTGAAGTCTATTCCAGATTATGGTCACCCTTACCATAAGGAAGTTTTTTTTTACATCCAACCGGAAACCATCCTCTAAATTTATGGCCACTGTTGCTTGTCCTCACCAGGGGCACCCTAGTGAACAGTTTCTCTCAGCTCCTGACATTCACACCTTACATACTTATAGACAGTCACTAAGTCCCCCCTCAGTCTTCTCTTCCCCAGGCTGAACAGTCCAAGATCCCTTACTCTTTCCTCAAAAGGTTTGTCCTCCAGGCCCGCAATCGTTCTTGTGACCCTTATCTAGACCCTTTCAAGATTCTCTATGTCCTTTTTGAAGTGCGGCCCAGAACGGGACACAGTCTCCAACTGGGGTCTCAACAATGCCAAGTAGAGAGGAAGTATCACTTCCTTAGCCTCGTGACACATCAGCTAATGCATCCCAGCATGCTATTAGGTCTGTTGACTACAGAGTCACAGTGGAGGCTCATGTTCATCCTGTGATTAACCATAACCCTGAGGTCCCTTTTAGTCATCATGCTGGCCAGGACATCTCCTCCTTGTCATGACCCAAAGGGTATGATTTTGTGTGTGCTTCGACACTGCAGAATTATTTCCCGCCACATGGAGCTTTCTTTGCACGGTGCAATTCTCAGTTGCATAGAGAAAACCCCGGTGCAAAGGAGTTCCCGCCACCCGTATGTAAATTTGTTTCCCACTACTGGCTGTTTCTAAATTATTCCCACGTGGCGGCTAGCGACTGGCTTGCTAGCCGTATAAGAGGCTTGAGCAGTTTCCGCCCAAGT